CACCTCTCGTTTAGTCCTTGGAATGTCCACTGAATGGCGGTGCTTCTATATGGGGAATAAATATATGATAAAAAGATGCGAGATGGTGGGACTTGGAGTGTTGAATAGATGGATGAACGGACACACAGACAGATGCATGGATGGACGCATGAACGGACGCAGGGGCGGATGCATGAACGAACGCAGGGACGGGCGCATGAACAGACGCATTGACGGTCACACAGACGGACGCATGGACGGACGAATGCTTCGCCCCACTCTCCATCATTCACTCCGTGGATATGCTGCCATTTTTTTCAAAGAGTATTGGAGTAGTGGTAGGGCAGCGGACTTCTTATTTCATTTCATTTCATTTATTTATACTGTTAGCCCAGAAGTGGGCCGTTACAGGGTGGAAGTACAAACAATTATTTGCAAAAAAGAAGTACCGTACAGGTCTCGAGATAATTTCTCGGTATTATTGTGACCAGCAACTCGAAGTTATACATAACATACATAAATGGAACACACATGCGATGCAATACATACGCGCAGAACAGCACATGACGCATTTGAGGCGGCACTTGCATGTTCGTCTTGGCTGGCGTTGGTTTTCACTAGTGCGTTTCTGTTGTAGTTACTGGATGCACAAAGGTCACTGCAGTCGTTGCACAGTCTTCGCTTGCGAAAAGGGTGCGTTTTTTAGACACAGCGAAGTAACAACTGAGACGCTTATCCGCGTTCATCTGTACCTGTGAGTACGTTTCGTGCCTCATTCTGCGTGAAAAACGCGGGGCACGTTTTGATCTGCTTGCCATTCGGCACTGACCTTCCGATTTGTTGCTATCGCGTTCATTACTTCGCCTTTGCAGCGAAGCTGTGACGCTTTTCAAAAATGCGTCAAAAATATCGGCTACAGACCTTCATGCTACAACAATTGATGTCTTCGTAATTCAGGACTTCTTCGAGGCATCGTATCCGAGTTTCTGAAGCGTCTAAGTCGTGCATAATATGCGACTGCAAAAAGAGTAAAGCCATCGCAAAGCAAGCCACAAAAATAGTCCAGGCCGCATGTGTGCTAAGCGACTCCGACCTTCACCGATACTCTCTGTGGGCGCCATATTGATCAACCCTGTGCGCCCCCTACAGGCGATGAAACTTGCGAATAGGCTGAAGAGGTAAAGGCAGCACTGAAACCAATGAGACATGAAACGGCCCCATGGGCCAGACGGTTTTGCTGTTCAGTTTTATTTGACATTTTTGAATGATATTGGTGCTACCTTTACCGTGGTTATCCGGCGATGTTACGAGGACGGTGTCTTTACATCCAGTTTTCGAGATCGATGCATTGTTCTTATACCAAAAGGTGATGCTTTCTCTGTTAATCTTGATGATTGGGGACCTATCACACTTCTCAACGTTTACTATAAGATATTTGCGACGGAAATCATTCAAAGCTTGAGGGGTCTGTTGAACGCCCTGGTGGGTCATCACCAGGCTTCATCAGTGCCCGGACGACAAATACACAGCTTGTCGTTTACCACACGTGATATGATAGCCTATACTTTGTCGCGGTCTGCGCGTGGTATCCTTGTGTCTTCAAACCAGGAAAATGCATTTGACCGACTAGAGCACACGTATATCTTTAATGTGCTCACAACCTTTGGCTTTCCTCATCTGTTTGTGGAAATAATCAGAAAGACCTACACTGGTCTGAAAAGCACACTAGTTCTGGATTGCTGGGAAAGTGGCGCCTTTTCCATTACACGTGGGGTCCGTCAGGGATGCCCATTGCCTCCTGTGCTGTTTGTCCTCAGCCTTAAGCCATATTTCCGTGCTCTTGACGTGGGTTCACGTGTCCGGGGTCTTTCGCTTCCTAGTAACAGTGTCGTGAAAGTCACTGCTTTCGCTGACGACATAACCCTGTACCTTTCAGATAAAAGTAACCTTTCACGCAGCCTATGTGTATTTTTTTCCAGTATGGTGACTTCAGGTGCAGCATTGAACACCTCCAAATCCTGGTATTTCATCATTGGCTCTCCGAACTCTAGGATTGGCATCGTTTTCCCTATTCAGCCGGCCGCATCCTTTCGTATTTTGGGTATTTTAAACAACCACTACGGCATTTGCGAATCTGCTTGATTAAACGTTCTCGAAGAAGTAAGAATAAAAGTTTAAGACACACGGTATTTTGAGTTTCTGTTTCTTGAGCGAAGGTACCTTGCGCAGAGTGTATTTTGCGGTCGCATTTCGTACCTTTTTTTAAGTCGTGCAACCGTCTTTACGTATCTATCGTGCGATCACTGCAGTCAGCTCTGTGTTCCTTTTTTGGTCAGGCGGCACTGAGTTGGTCTATCGTGCGGCACTGGGACAGCAGCGTTCTCAGGAAGGCTTTGCTTTCCCTTCAGTATCCATACGCTGTTGGCTGCTGGCACTGCGGTTCCTTTTGCGCCTAGTTCAAGAAAGGGAATCTCCCGCACGAACGCTTGCATATTACTTTCTGGGTACTCACCTTCGGCATTTGAAGCCTAATGTTCACCTTAACAGAGGGACACAGTCAATAACACTTCCTGCGTTTTATGCAACAACTGTTGCATTTTTTCGCCATGTCAAGTCGAGCTGTCCTGGCATAGATGTTTTGAAGAACCACATAGTTGAGACAACTGCTGCTTTGTTGCTTCTGTTGGTTCCCCCAGCCCGCCGTGCTCGTTCTAGTCGCGTGTCTTTGAGCACGTTTACGGCTTCTTTTCTGCATGGACACCTCCGGGATTTCACGTCGGGCCTGGGATGAGGTGTGCTTCCCACCCTCGACCGCCTCGAAAGGGGAAGAATGGTCCAGTCAGCAACATGCCCGAACTGCTCTCATAAACAAATCATCATTTTCTGAGACATTGTGTCATTGCTCGTGTGTTTTCGAGAGCCGTACATGCTGGATTTCGCTGCCTAAGAGTAATTTCCTTCGTTTCTTTTGGGCGTTGTTCTCGAGGCCACTTCGCTTGTCTTCTCATTGTTGCTGGTTCTTTCTGCCTCTGGCACAACCGCTGCGAGGCGATTTCAGCGGGGCACCACCACCTCGCGCTGTTTCTGATCCTAGAGCAACTGCACTCGGAGCTGCTGTCTGTTTTGTCGGAGGAGCTCTTCTTCCACGGTGAACATGAATTCCTTCGGCACTGGTCTTGCCCTTTTCTGTCGGTCTAAGACGGACGAGTTAAACTTGTCTTTCGGCCGGCCTGGTATTGGTAGGCCGATGTGTCGATGCGATGGCAGAAACAACATGCCAACATGTAAATATGCGAAAGGTACATATTCATGTTTTATTTGTTCCTCTTGTTTACCTTGCAATATTGATATTTGTATCTGTCATTTTCGGACACATTTTTGTGTGGCTGTGTTTGTGTGAACCCTCGAATGTACATGTCCTATCCACATAATCTCATATTTATTTTCATGTAATTGAAGTGTGTTTTGTCATCATCAATATTGTAAGTCTAGGAAGAAAATTTTCTGGTGAAATGCTATTGACTTCTTTGACAATAAATTTTTCTAAACACCTGCTATGTTGTCCATGGTTATAAAGGCTGCTGCTCGTCAAATGGAAGGCCCACGGGATGGTTTTCAGCTCTCCTTTAGTAGAGTTGGAGTACTCTAGATCGTTAACCACTTTCTCTAAACACGCTTCTTGTAATCATTAAGCACTTTTTTTCTGAACACGTACGCTGCCTGCAGCTTACGCTTTGTGAGGGCTATAAATCCCTCATGCGCGTAAATGTATTCTCCATATTCCACCCAAAATATTTTTGGGGGATGACAGAAAGAAAAGGGCTCGGAGATTTCGTTATAAAACCAATTATATCTAGATCCATGCGCGCTTTCGCCGTTACCATCAGCCTTCATGAGGTTCTGTACATAAAGTCAAAATCGGCATCATCCTCTCGCGTGGCGTGTGTTCATGTACGAGAGAAAACGTTCGAGAAAACCTGATGATCGCAGCTACTAAAAGAGGCGAAACGTTCCGGTCGGCACTCCCACTGAAAGACGCGCACGGAGGGGTCTCCGCGGGAAGGCAGTGGCCTCGTGGTTGTGGCAGCAACAGCGTACTTTGACCGCCCAGTAGTGATTGGCCGTGGTCGCGCGTGCCATAACTTGACAGGGATTAGCAGAGTGCTCATAGCCTTATATGTGCTGTGTTCTTACCACTGATTTTACATTGAAGCCATAAACATACGCCAGGGCTTTGTCTAGTTACAACAGGTCGAATGAGCTACCAGCCTTTCTTCGCATAGCATTCCAGCTTGTTGCTGACGAATTTAATGTCTCGTCCTTGTGGTGGTTATGACTTTTCTTTAGCGCACCTTGCAAAACAAGACGGGTCGTGGTAGGTCTCATCAGTTACAAAGGGCTTCGCATCTCTCCCCAAACTACTCTTAATCAATGCCTTACGATCTGATCCCAGTGCGAAGCGTATGCACTGGTACAGGCATCGTCTGACCGGCGGCACGCATGTACTCCATGGGTTACTGCTCATCGCCTTCGTGCACCAGATGTGGCGAAAAAGACAGACTGGAGCAAATCACTCTCTCTTGCCTTGCTCTGGCTGCCGAACGACGCGTGATGGCGAGCCACTGTTGCCTACTCGGTCTCTCTCTCTCTCTGACAACAGCCTAAGGCTTCAATTTTCCCGCATGATAGAAGATACAGGCCCTGCGAGCTTTCCTCGAGTTTGCGGTTCCTGCAGACCTCACCGTTTCATAGCCGCACGATTGGCCTTCGTGCCCCTGTCTGCACTGACAAACACTACCTTAACATGCATCTCGCTCTTATTAATCTTCTCTTCTTCTACTTCCCATTCTTCAACCCCAGAGACGCTGAGCCGTGCGCCCACGACGGGAGGCAGAAACAGCGTTCTTTTTCTAACTCCCTCTTAACTCAAACCACTTTCACCTTCTCTCATACACTGGAAAGGTGGTGTGGGGGGTCAACTTGGCCCGCTGTGCGCATGCCTATGCTTTTAGCTGGCTCACCTGCCTGGTTTTCTTTCGTTGACGACCGGTGCAGCACCGCCATATTGTGCCGCAGAAGGGCCTCCTCGCGCTGGCGTAGGATGCTGCATGTTGAAGGCCGAGACTTTTATTGGGTTAGGATTAAACGAAGGCAGTGTCGTTCTTAGCAATCATTCAGCCAATAATACTCTACGCCATTATCTATAATTAACCAGCATTAACAAGTCCCGGTAGTAGGAAAATAGGTACACCCTAGCAATTTTGAACAATATCACCCGAGCGCTGAGTGCGGGATAGAATAACTGTTAATGTTTTCATAAAGTGACAAGGGGAGGAAGAGGCTTGAAAAGGTAAAGGGCTATCGCTTACTATATGTTGTGTACGAGAAATTCTCAAAAACAATAGCTAATAGAATGAAGACAACATTATACATCAGTCAACCAAAGGACCAAGCAGGATTGCTTACAGGTTACTCAAGAATCAGCCATATACAAACTATCAATCAGGTGATAGAGAAATGCATGAAATACAACCAATCAATATACATACACTTCATAGATTACGAGAAGGCACTTTATTCGGCCGAGATATGAGCAGTCAGGCAGGCACTGTGAAATCGGGGCATAGACGAAGCCTATATAAACATACTGGAAGAAGTCTACAGTATATTCATAGCTACCATAGTAATCCATGAAAAAAGTTAAAGAATCCCAATATTGAAGGGTGTAAAGCATGGAGACACGGTCTCCTAAATGCTATTCTCCTCATGTTCACGGGAGGTTTTCTGGTCCCTAGATAGGTCAGAGTTAGGGATAAGATATATGGAGACCATCTCAGTAACCTGCGACTCACTGATGAGATTGATTGATGGCATTGATACCTGAAAAGCCGAAGGGTACGCCTGAAAATTAATGTGCATAAAACTCAAGTAATATGCAACAGTCCCAGCAGAGAACAGCGCTTTGCAATAGGTGGCGAGACATTGTAAGTTGAAAGGAAACATGTCTGCTTCTAAGAACAGAAGCAACCGTGGAGCCGAACTACGAGAGTTAAGTAAACAATAGATTAAGGATCGTATGGCGCGCATTTGGGAATATCCCAAATCATGAACGCTAGTCTACTACTATCGCTTAACAGAAGGTTTGTAACAGCTGAATATTACCAATGCTTACCTGTATACCTATGGAGCTTGGAGGCTTACGGAGAGAGTTGAGGACGATGCAGTAAGTGATGAAAAGAAAAAATGGTAAAATGGTAGGCCAAACCCAAAGAGACAGGGGAGAGCACAGTGAGTCAAATGCAAGCGGGTTAAGGATGCCAGGATGTCACGAAGATGTTAGCCAATGGAATTATTGAACCCTCTTCGAGCCCTTGGGCGTCCCCCGTTGTGCTCGTTAAAAAGAAAGATGGCACATGGCGCTTCTGCGCACGTGGGTTACCGTCATCTGAATAGAATCACGAAAAACGACGTTTACCCTTTGCCCCGCATTGATGACGCTCTCGATTGTCTCCACGGCGCCCGATACTTTTCTACCATAGTCCTACGTTCCGGCTACTGGAAGAATACTGTCGACGAAAAAGACCAAGAGAAGACTGCATTTGTAACTCCAGATGGCCTATATTAGTTCAAGGTTATGCTGTTTGTGCTATGCAACGCCCCAGCCACGTTCGAGCGCATGATGGACTCTCTCATACAAGGGTTGAAATGGTCAACATGTCTTTGTTTTCTTGACGATGTCGTTGTAAGTTCCCCAACATTTGAGACCAACCTTCGGCGTTTGTCAGCTATTCTCGACATATTCCGCACTGCAGGCCTTCAATTGAACTCGTCGAAGTGCCGCTTCGGACGCCGGCTAATTACAGTGTTGGGCCACCTTGTCGACGCCTCTGGTGTGCAGCCGGACCCCGAGAAAATTTGTGCAGTTACCAGTTTTCCTGTACCCCAGTCAGCCAAAGACGTCCGGAGTTTTGTAAGACCTTGCTCCTATTTTAGAAGGTTTGTGAAAGATTTCGGAACCATCGCTCGACCCCTCACAGAGCTTCCGAAGAAATACGTCTCATTTACGTGGGGTACCGACCAAGCTGCTGCTTTTTCTCACCTAATCACGCTACTGACGACTCCCCCCACTTTGACCCATTCGCTCCAACGGAAGTTCGAACCGATGCTAGTGGTCACAAAATCGGAGCCGTGTTAGCCCAACGCCAACGGGGACACGACCGAGTTGTCACCTACGCTAGCCGCCTCCTCACAGCTGCTGAGCACAACTATTCTATTACGGAGCATGAATGTCTTGCTCTTGTTTGGGCAGTCTCAAAGTTCCGCCCATATTTATATGGCACTAATTTCTCTGTGATAACTGACCATCATGCGCTATGTTAGCTTACGTCACTGAAGAATCCTACTGGCCGGCTCGGGCGCTGGGCTGTGCGACTCCAAGAGTATACCTACTCGGTGACGTACAAGTCTGGATGCCTACATTAGGACGCAGACTGTCTGTCCCGCTACCCGGTCGCTGAGTCGAGCACTATGCCTGACACCGAGCCTTGCGTCTTTTCCCTTTCGCAAATGACATGCTTCGATGACGAGCAACGCCATGATGCGTACTTGCGTGCTATCATTGAGCGCCTCGAATCACCATCTTCCAGTCAGTCCCATCGCTCATTCGTGCTCCACGATGGTGTATTACACCGCCAAAGTGTTGAGCCGGATGGAGTGGCTCTGCTGCTTGTCATTCCGAAACACCTTCGCTCAAAAGTTCTACATGAACTTCATGACCTTCCGACTGCTGGTCACCTTGGTGTGTTACGCACTTATGACCGAATACGCTGACGCTTCTTTTGGCCAGGGCTTGAACACTCAATCAGAAGATACGTTGCGGCTTGTGAGAAATGTCAGAGCCGCAATACACCATCAACACTTCCCGCCGGACGCCTTCAACCACTTGATATTCCGACAGAACCGTTCTTCTACGTTGGCTTGAACCTACTGCGTTAGCTTGGACCTACCGCGAGTCCGTGACGTACACTTTCCGCCCGGTTCTTTAGTCCTGCTCTGGTCTTCGACCGTCAAGTTGGCTTGTCAGAAAAACTGCTTACTCGCTACACAGATCCATACCGAGTCCTTCGTGTGGTTACTCCTGTGACATATGAAATTGGCCCTGTCGCCCCATCGCCTTCATGTGCCCAACAGGCTACCGATATTGTACATGTTGCGCGATTGAAGCCCTACAACTCTCCTAGTGACGTTGACATTTAGATTCACCGAGACGGCGCTTGTGCCACCGGGGGTTATGCTACATGCATGTATATTGATATTCTAGAGGGTGACGCGCGTGTGTGCCTGACGAGGAAGACGAAGAGTTGTCTACGCTCGATCGCTGGTGAACCAGTCACGCCATTACCGCTGGTTTTAAATATATCTATTCCCCAGCTTCGTCGTTACGGCGTCTCTTCTTTTCCGTAACAATATCATAGTTGAAATTTTAAAAAATTGACATGGACTGGGTACGTAGCATATAGGCAGGAAGTCCGCTGGTCATTAAGACGTAACTTAGTGGATACCAAGACAAGGTGAACGCGTGAGAGGGTGACAAATATTTAGGTGGGCAGATTGAATTAAGAAGTTTGCAGGTATAGCGTGGAACCAGCAAGCACAAGACTGTGTTGATTTGTGGAAGATGAGAGAGGTCTTTGCCCCGCGGTGGGTGTAGTTAGGTTCATGATGGTGGTGGTGATAGTACCAATATCTGTCAGCGATGTGCAAGTGCACACAATACCCTGTACTGCGAAGGCAGTCTGATACGCTGTTTCCTGGAACTGAGATTTCGAAGTAATCTTAAAGTAAACAGTGCCCTATAACGTAGCAGATCAGAGAAATATTGAAGCGTATGTGACGGCCACATACGCAGCAAAATGCAAGTGTCCTCAGTTGTGCTGTACTGCTAGGCAAGTTTGGTTGCGCTACTTTGTGGTCCTTTATCCGTACCTTCTTTTTCCATTATTGACAAGCACAGGCACATGCAAAGCATCAGCTTCGAGGAGCCGAGACACGCTTTTTTATGGCGCCCTTTTTGACGCACATTTTCAGGCTTATCTAAACTAGATAAGAAATTAACTGCATTGCGCGCACGTCTGAAATTAAACAAGAACATTGTTGCTAGAGTAAAACAAGTTATGGATATTCTACATCAATTAGGTTCTCAAAGAGTGCCAATGGTAACAGACGGTGTGTCATTTCATTTTGCATTATTTAAGTAAGGGCAGAAGTAGCTCTATTTTGTCGCAAAGGCTGCGAAACAGAAATGCCATAATTCATCCTTACGTCGGCAGCAGCAGATTTCTGCGCCTGCTGCTCAGTAAGTGTGGAGGATGGAGGCAGCGCCGCTGGGGCAACAGCGGTTGCTTCTGGGGGCTTTCCAACTTCTTGCACACCTTTGTCAATGCTTTTCCGTGACTTCTTCCGCGTATCATTGGAGCTTTGCGTATCTTGATTGCTGCGGAAGAGTGAACGCAAGCGCCGTCATCTGTCTGACTGCGTCGCCTGTTAAGAACAGTGTACTTTACAATAAATGCTATAGCTAATGCCCAAGCCATGTATGACCTGCAGGAAAAAAAATAGCGGTTCATGAGCCCGTGAATTCGCAGTATTACGAACCACTTCAATCGTCTACTACGTCATAGATTATCTGCACTTGCATTTTTTTTCTTTTGGTTTCACGTTCTTATACATACTGGTGATACTCGCGGCATGAATGTCTGCCCATAAAATCACTTAGGTGTTTCTAATAGCACTTAGGCTAACGCTACCAAACGCGAAGTTTGAGGCAGACACCCATCAAATGGCGTCGTAGCGAAATGAAAAGCTCCAAAAGGAAACACTTCGATTATTCCCTACTGCTGACAGAGACCCGTGCCCCACGTTAATACAGAGTGCTTGGGCTAATACAGAGTGCTTGGGTGGCAATAATAAACCAAGGGATTTTTACCGACCTAGTCGAGCGAGTTTCACTGCGTATATTTTCCCGCAACACACTTGTGATGCAGTTGGGAACCCTGGCTCTTCTCACATTCTATCTCCGCATGGCCTTAAAGTGAGGAAAGTATACTCCGTCACAAGCTGCGCGAAATTTCGTTGTGGCGTTGCACTTGTGCATGGTCTTACAGGGAAAGCTTTTGTCGGCCCGTATGTTCACCTCTCCGAATGCCTATCCTCAATTTTCGAGATTAAATCTAAATAGTAGTCAACCGATGAAAACGCGTAGATGGATAATCTAAGCTAACAGGAAAAAAAGTGCCACAGATTAGCTGGCTGATGTTTCGATTGGAGTATCTATTTTTGGCGCGACCCTTTGACAATTAAAACTAGGTTTTCCTATATTTGTCGCAGCCGGAGGGAGGCATCTTCTCCTTTTTTTTTCAACCTATCATCCACATTTCGATTATGAAAGCCCACCCAAGCAACGAAGTAATTTGAGACATCGGAAACAAAAAATCTCCGTGACAAAAAAAGTAGAAAAATGCTAGTTCTGCAGAGATGTGTGACTTATCTCTCGTCTTTGCGCTGTGCTGGTGGCATGCGAACTGAAACAGTTCCAATTCCATTCAAAGAAACTTTTACTTTTTAGGTCTATTAAGGAATGGCACATTAAGAGATTTCGCATCAATCGTCTGCACTTTTTAATGATTAATGATGAGCGAAGATTGTGGATCTCCTCCGCGAAGGAAACTATAATGGGGTGCAAAGCAGCAGTGGTGCACACGACATTGACTTGGCTGAAACGGGCGTCGACGCGGGAGCTGAAAGAATCGATATATATATATATATATATATATATATATATATATATATATATATATATATATATATATATATATATATATATATATATATATATATATATATATATATATATATATATATATAATGAAGTCTTGGTAGTCTTGGCTGCGTCAGCGTTTATTTGAGGAAAGACCTCGCAAAACGAACGGGCAGAGCCAGTACACAGACGATGACGATGATGATGACCCAGAGAGGCAATGAGGACAAAGAGACAAGCTTATGATGGTAATTGTGATCATGCAGGGATGATGACGATGTAAGTAACAAATGCCCACACTAATTCCCCCCACTTGGAAGCGGACACCCTGGCCGCCGTAAGTCAAAGTGACGGGGAATGTCGCGTGAAAGGTTTCATGCGACAAATGTGGACAATCTCTGTGCTGTGGTAGCGGCGGTCTGTTGGGGCAACGAGTGGTGTGACACGGCAATTAACTGGCAAAGCCTGTTATAAAACAATGTATGGCCCAATGAAGCGTGGTTGGAATTTGTCACAAAGACCAGGAGTGCGAATAGGTGTAAAAAAAAACACCTCGTCACCAGGTTGGAAAGACACAAACAACGTGGTGGGATTCATCATAGATGATCTTTCACTCGTGCTGTCTCGCTTCAGTATTGATGCGAGCCTGATGGCGAGACTGGGCCAGGTGGGAAATGCATTCTTCGCTAGAAGACTGACATGAATTCCCATGGCTGTTAAAGAAGGAGACGTGGAGAAAGGTAGTCGGGGTGCGTCCGCACACGAGGTAAAACGGTGAGTAGCAAGTTGTTCGCTGAACGGCGGTGTTGTAAGCGAATGTCAGGAATGGTAAAAGAGATCCCAGTTTTTGTGGTTGGGTTGGACGTAAACGGCTATCAAGTCTGCAAGGGTTCGGTGAAATCTTTCTGTGAGACCATTTGTCTGAGGGTGGTAGCTTGAAGCTGTCTCGTGAGTAGTTCCAGAAGCGCGCAGTACTTCATTTACCATTTGTGACAAGAACACTTTGCCGCGATCACTAAGCAGTACACGAGGATCCGCATGACGCAGAATTATGTCGTGAAGAATAAAGTCTTCAACTTCAGCTGAGCCTGTAATAACAGAGGAAGTCTCAGCGTAGCGTGTCAGGTTGTCAACGGCGGTCACTATCCATCGTTTGCCAGCAGATGTGACGGGGAGAGGCCCGTAAAGGTCAACACCTACAACCTCGAACGGCATTGAAGGGCACGGAAGTTGCTGTAGAGGTCCAGAAGGTGCAGACGTGGGGAGTTTACGACGCTGGCATGGGTAGCAGAAGCCGACGTACCGCGCTACACTAGAAGAAAAGCCGGGCCAGTAATAACGACATCGAATGCTGTCAAGAGTTTTTTTTTAAACCAAGATGACCAGCAGTCAAGTCGTCCTTCGAGCACCTGAAGTTGAAGTTGGCAGTACAGGAACCCAGCGCTGACCGTCAGGGTGATTGACGTGGCGGTAGAGAACCCCATTGTCCATCTTAAAGTGCAGGAGTTGACGACGGAGTCGCGCGTTGGGTGGATGAGAAACTCCCGAAAGGTGGTCCATCATGCGTCTGAAGTATGAATCGAATCGCTGGTGGGAGATAAATGTTGGCTCGTCGTCCGAAGAGGGTTGCCTTATTGATGCGAGCGTATGAACTTTGGTAGATGTTGCGGTTGAGTTCTCACCAACGCTGATATGGGTAGTTGGAAGCGGGCAACGAGATAAAGCGTCGGCATCTTGATGTTTTCTGCCTGACTTGTAAGTTATGTCAAAGTCGTACTCCTGCAAGCGTAGTATCCACTGACCCAAGCATCCGGACAAGTTCTTCAGTGTAGAAAGCCAGCATAAGGCATGGTGGTCCGTAACGATTGTGAAGTGACGGCCGTGAAGATAGGGACGGAACTTCTGGACCAACCAAACCACAGCCAAACTCTCTTGCTCAGTTATAGTGTAGTTCTTTTCGACAGGGGTGAGTACGCGACTGGCATATGTAACAACTTTCTCTAGGGAAGACTTGTCGCGTTGTCGAAGAACGGCTCCTATACCAAGGCCGATAGCGTCGGTATGGAGGATAGTCGGTGCGGCTTCGTCAAAGTGGCAGAGCAGAGGTTCAGACGTGAGTGCCCGCTTCAACAGGTCGAATGCCGTTTGACATTCTTGAGACCACACAAAGGGGACGTTGGAAGCAAGTAGTTGGTGTAATGTAGCAGCAACAGAAGTGAACTTCTGGATAAACTGGCGAAAATAGGAGGCGAGGCCAAGAAAACTGCGAAGCTCCTTTGGTTTTTCGGGACGCGGAAAGTGAAGGACTGCAGAAATCTTGTCAGGGTCGGGCCGGATGCCATCTTTGCTAACGACGTGTCCTAAGACCTTGATAGATTTGCTAGCGAAAGAGCATTTCTTAGTGTTTATTTGAAGTCCAGCGCCGGCAAGGCACGTCAAAACTTGATCCGATCGTTCTAGGTGCTTAGGAAACGTTGACGAAAAGATAATAATGTCGTCCGGGTAGCAAAGGCAACTTTTCCATTTCAGGCCGCGCAGCACGGTATCTATCATGCGCTCAAAAGTCGCGGGTGCGTTGCAGAGCCCGAAAGGCATCACGTTGAATTTATATAGCCCGTCGGGGGTTGCGAATGCCGTTTTCTCCTTATCGTCTTCATGCATGGGGATCTGCCAGTACTCAGAATGCAAGTCGAGAATTCCACGCCTTGTAGGGAATCAAGGGCGTCGTCAATGCGTGGCATAAAGTACACGTCCTTGCGTGTGATCTTATTGAGCGCCCGGTAGTCCACGCAAAACGGCACAGAGCCATCCTTTGTATGGACCAAAACAATAGGAGACGACCAAGGGCTAGATGAGGAATGGATGACTTCCCGTTTAGGCATGTGCGCAACGTTTTCTTCTATAATTTTTTTTGCAGTTAAAGACATGCGGTAGGGTCGGCGGTGTACGATAGATGTCCCAACAGCTTTAATTCGATGTGCTGTAGTATTAGTGCGGCCCAACTTAGACGAGCAAATATCAAAAGAATTTGCATGTTTCTGTAACAATGCGAGCAGCTGCTGCCTCTGTGAATATGTCAATTCGCTGCTGATAGCGGTGGTAAAGACGGAGGAAGAAACATGCTCACCGAGGCAAGGTTCTTTGGATGCGATGGCCTGAAGTGGCGTGACAAATACAGGCTCGAAGTCAGCAACACGGGCCAGAGTAGTGCCTTGTGGCAGTAAGTTCTTCTCCGGTGTAGAGTTGACAGCAGTGACAAGTGCCGAGCCATTGCAAAAACGAACGACACCGGACGGAAGAACTACACCTTTGCGAATGCAAAGTGGTGACGGTGAGACCAATACATCCCCGTGATAGATGTAGTTGGACGTAATGCTGACAATTTGCTCTTGTAGTGGTGGCAGTTCGATCTCTTTCGCAGTGACCAGACGAAGTGGCTTCTGATTGTCGTCGTCAAGCATGTAGTCGGTGTCAGCGAGGTGAACGACGCGTTGTCCACAACAAATCACCGCGGAAGCAGATGATAGAACATCCCACCCTAAAATTAGTTGGTGAGAGCAGCGGGACAGAACAGCAAACTGGACATGATGGCAGATGCTGTCGATGAAAACACGCACAGTACAAAACGCGGAAGGGCGAATGACGTTCCCCTGGGCAGCAACTAACCTGGGGCCATC